AAGAGAAAAAAAAAAAAGGTGTGGTGTGGCAAACACACAGCAAAAAAAAAACTCATCTCATCCCAGGTATATAACGCCCTATTGCCATCACAACAGTACACACTGAAAGTAAAAAAGAAAAACCTGGCTAACATAATCAAGCACGGGGAGCCCCTCATCCTCATCTGTCGTTATCATCTAGTAGCGAAACCAGAAAAGATTCTGCCTCACGGCGATCACCAGGAGTCCACAAAAAAGGCAACATCAAAAAAAAAAAAAAAAAAATAAGACAACTTTCTTTCCTCTTGCTTTACCCTTGCCATGCATCATAAAAGGGAAAAATTGGGGAGGGGAGGGAAGAAGATTAGAAGAAAAAACAAAAAGTCTATCGGATTCAAAACCGTCCCATCAGTCAATGGCATCGTTCTGTTGGTCATGCATGCTGGGATCGAAAGGACTCCAAGGTATTAGAAACTTCGTGAGGCTGGAGAGTATAAAAGAAGACACGGAGAGGCTGTCGAAGGTGGAGGGAGTCGGATGGGACGATTGCACGACGAGAAAGTGGGTATGTATGGTAGGAGCGAATATGCCATGAAAGGAGAAGAAAAAAGAACCCATCCCGGTTTATCTGTGATGCATCGTAAATATGGCAGACATGGTAGACGGACTTTTTTGTGCAATGCGCCCATTTTCGTCATGCAAAGAACAAGGTTAGTGTACCCAAGCGGATTGGTCACGCTTAGAAGGAGAATCCTCCAGGGAAACCTCCGCCGCGCTGGCCACCGGCTTGAGCAAAGCCACCGCCGCCGTTCATCATGTTGAAGAGCACGCTGGGGTCGATATTGATATGGGTGCCACCCATACCGCCCATACCGCCCATACCACCCATGCCGCCCATGCCGCCCATGCCTCCGAAACCGTGCATACCTCCCATGCCGCCGCGGCCAAACATGTCAGCCGGGTCAACAAGGTCGTCGCCGTTGTCGTAAGAGGCGCGCTTCCTGGTCGCTCGTTAGTCCGCTATATTATCGATAAAAACCCAAGGGACACATACTGAGGATCAATCAGAGTCTCATAAGCCTCGCCAATCTCCTTGAACTTCTCCTCACCAGAAGGATCATCACGGTTTTTGTCGGGGTGGTACTGAATGGCCATCTTGCGGTAAGCCTTCTTGATCTCCTGCTCGGAGGCATCCTTGGAAACCCCAAGGATCTTGTAGTAGTCCTTGCGCTGTGCCTTCTTCAGCTCAAACTCAGCCCGGCGGATCTCCTCTTGGATGCCCTTCTCCATCGGGTTCGTCTCCGCCACAGCCTTGTAGTCGCGCACCGCTTCCTCCCAATTACCAGCACCGCCATGAGCCTTGGCACGAATCTTCTGTGCCTTGACATAGCTGGGATCCAACTTCAGGGCCTCCGTGCAGTCACTGACCGCATTATCGTATTCCTTCAGGTTGATGTAGGCCTGGGCGCGGTTCTGCAGGATCTTGGCGTTCTGGTCCTTGTTCTTGGGGTCGACCTGGACAGCCTCGGTCCACAACTCGATGGCCTTGCGGTAGTCCTTGGCCTTGAAGGCAGTGTTACCCTCTTCCTTGGTGCGCGTCAACTTCTGCACGGTGCGCAGCATCTTGATGGCTGCCTTCATGTCGGGATCCAGACCCAGGCACATCTTGAGCAGCTTCAACGCCTGATCGGTGTCACCCATGCCATAGAACGCGCGGGCGCGGATCAGCATGGCATCGGGATCCTGGCTGTTCTCGCGCAGCATGCCAATGGCGATATCCTGGGCCTTGCCGAAGGAGTTATCGTTCCCCATGCGCAAGTGCGCCTCGGCCGTCATCAGCGTCCACTTGCGAGGCTCCTTGACCCCCTGACCCAGCATCTGCCGTGCCTGGTCCAGGCAGAACAGCACCATCGACACACCACGGTCCTCAGCCAAAGCCTCCTCGGCTTGCTTGACAAACCGGAGCATCTTTTCGGCGGGGGCCTTGTCAGTGGCAGAAGCCGGGGGCTCGACGCGGGCGAGCACATCGAGGGCCTCGGTTGGACGACCCAGACTGACGAGAATGCGGGCGTGACGGTACATGAGCTTGGTGTTGGTGGGGTCGAGTTCGCGGGCGCGCTCACAGTCCTCCAGAGCGGCTAGGTACTGGGTAGCGGCCATGTAGGCGGCCGCGCGGTTGGACAGGTAGACGGACGAGTCGGGGCTGATCTCGAGGGCTGTCGGATGTGACGATTAGATCTTGTAGCGGGGGCATGAGTTTGGACGCGAAAGAACCTACCCTTGTTGAACTCCTCGATAGCGCGTGTGTAGTTGCCATCCTTGAAGAATTTGTTACCGGCCAGCTTGAAGTTGTCGGCCTCGGCAGTGTTGCCGTTCGAACGGTGAGGAGGGGGCGTGGGACTCCGTTCTGTCTTGCCATTGACGCCATTGGTGTCGACATCCATTGGGGTGCGGGCTTCTTCGCGAGCAGCAGCCATTGCGGAGAGTTGACGGAGTTCGTCGGGATGAAGATTAAGTGGGTGGAAGTCGGGATCGTGGGTGTATCGATTCCGGACGGCGGACAGCGACGCACGAGGACCGGAGACTGACTTGGTCCGAACGGAGGCTGACTTGGAGGGGGTGGAGGAGGAGCGACTGTGGTGAGTCGGGCGAGCAGTGGTGGGTTTGCGCGGAATGGAAGGGTGCTGAGTCGAGGCTGGAACCGATGACGACTGCGGAGCACGTGTCGACGAGACGGGGCGAGAAGCGGCAGAGGAAGAATGAGAGTGTCGAGAGGAAGAAGAAGAGTGAACGGTCTTTGCCCGGAGAGGAGGGGGAGGTCGAGTGGAGTGAGGAGTTGAGGCAGGAGGAGGAGTAGGAAAAGATTTGGTCGCCACCGGCGGAGGGGGAGGAGGAGAGGAGGCGGGAGACGAGAGGGGAGTGGATCGGGTGGAAGTCGCCGCAGAGGAAGACGGAGAGGAGGAGGAGGAAGAAGAAGTAGACAAGGGGGAAGGAGAAGGGGAAGAGGGAGAAGAGGAAGAGGAAGAGGAAGAGGAAGATTTGGTAGACTTGGATTTGGAATGCGAGGATGATTTGTGACGAGAGAAGAAAAGATGCGGGAGACCCATGCTGCCGGTGGACGCCCCGCTGATTGGTGGAGCCCGGCGGAGGTGTCGAAGTAGAACGAAGGCGGTGGAAGAAGAGAAGAAGAGAGGATGAGGAGGATGCTGATGAGGAGGATGCGGATGAGGAGGATGAGGATGATAACAACCGTTCGTCTGCTGCAACACCCAACCACTGCACCACAATAGGAGTGTACTGTCTGTCCACTGCACTGGACTCTGTACCGTACTTGCTGTCCTTGTCCTATCTGAATCCTGCTGACTCACTCCCCAAACAAAAGAGGGGAAACAGAAGGATAAGCACAACCCAGATTCAACACTGCAGAACAGAACAGAACAGCTCCCAGAGCAGAGCAGAGCAGAGCAGAGCAGAGCAGAGCAGAGCAGAGCAGAGAACAACAACAACAACAACAACAACAAGCAACAGAGCAGAAGAGTCCAAGGTCAAGTCCTTGTCCGAATCTCCCTCAAAATAAAACCCACCCGCTGTCACCGGCTGTCAGGCCCCAACTCTTTATGGAGTCCGCCCACCCGCCATAATTCCGGAGGCTGGACGTTTCCTGGCCAATATGCCCATTATTCGCCTCGTCATGCTCCCCTCTTTCAATCAAACAAATCTCTTAGTCTAGTTCCCTTCTTTCAAGCTAGCTACCTACCAAGCTACCAACCAAGCAAGCAAGCAAGCAATCAAAGCGCTTCCATTTGGTTCTACCCTTTCCATCTATCTGGGGTGCTGGTCACTATCACCGAACTGGACAGTCTGGCCGATAGATGATGAGCAGAACGAACTAACGGACAAAAGTACCCCATAGTCTCCTTCTTTTCATTCCCTCTCCTCTCTTCCCTTCATTTTCTCCCAGAGCCAAAGAAATAAAAAAATCAAACCCAAAAGGCTTAACTTTAACCTTCCCCCTCTCCCCATGGACACGCCGCGCTCCGGCCCAACCCAGGCCTGTGCGCCCCAATCAACATTCGATGATCGCTTCAAGGCCTCTTGCTCATCATCCGCCAGCTAAACCACCGGTAGTTACTGTCTCGGAGTTTATTACGTAGCAGCTGATTCCGCCGTAGTTCCTGTAGCCGCCGGTTCTTGCTGGTCCATTGGAGGCGCCGGCTCATGCTGCAACGGTCCATCCTCTCCTAGTAAACGGTCCAACTGCAAGTCGGCCTCAGCGTCACGGAGAAGATCTCGGATCTGGGCTTTCAAGCCCGCGTGCTCGTCCGCGCGGTGCTGGAGATGTGGGGCGACCAGGGCACGATGATAGTCTTGCGCAACCTCCTGCAATAGTTCTTTGACCAATTTCTCGAGCTTTGTATCCAATTCGCACAACCATTCTTCCAGCGCCTGGCTGACTTCATCCGCAGCATTGCGGAATAGCGAAGAACCTTGCTTCTCAGCATGCTCGGACATCCTTGTACGGATCGCCTTCAAAACGCCGCGTCCTAGTTAAACACGGATCAGTACATTATGCTCGTGCCGCCCCACGTCAGCAGCCTTACCAGTATATTGAGCGCAAGCTTGGTAGGTTGATTGAAGCCCCGTGGCAATAGACGCGCTGAAATAACCTCTTCTATTGCGTTTCTCGCGCCCCGTCCATGCTTGGAGATCCTCCATTTCCTGTTTGATCGATTCGTGTAGGGTAACCAGTCGGCGCTGGAGCCGCTCGCCTGTAGCCCGAGGCGAGTCCCATGTGATCCATCGCATGGCTTGAGAATGGAATTCACTGATGGCTTTCTCAAAATCTTCACGCAGCTGCTTATATGCACCAGGCAATTGATCCTCAAATGCACTATGGCTGGTTAGACAGAAGCTCCAGAAGGGTGCACACATATCTACTTACCTGCGCCATCCAGGCTTGATCTTCGCGATCATCGGCTGTGCTCTATGACAGGGTCAGCTCGATTGTATAAACTTGAAGAACGTTCGTTCAATCTTACATTTCCTCGTTCAAATTCTAGAGTGTTGTTAGGCTTGAGTTTTCGATGCATGTTGTAGAAGGAGAAAGAGGGAGGGGCAAGCTTACCCGGTTGTCATGAAGACCCTGCCGGCGACAGAATGCTTGATACCTATTCCAACGGAATCCCTCTTGTTGCTGAGGGGCATTCCAGCAATCGACCGCTTGGGGAAACTCGTCATAACCGTGGCGCCATGCTTGGTCTGACCTGGTTAGTAAGGAATTCTGTTGGTCGAGGGGTAGACTTACCTAGATTTGCGATGATCTGGTCTTGGATGATAGCTCGGCTGCTGGCAACGGAGTCAACTCGAAGTCTGTTCATGGCCTAGAATCCAATCAATGCTTTCATAACATAAGTCAAGTTCCGCACCTACCTCGGTCAGGTCGTCTACCGCGTTACGGAATTCGGCCTCCATCTGCTGTCTCTTCTGGGCAGAAGTGCGCGCGGCTGTCGCAATCGGTGCAGACCACAAGGTCATTGATTGAAGGAGTGAATTCAGCGTCACCAAAAAACGCCGGGCAGTCTTCTCGCGGGATTTGCGAGTTAGCGCAATGCAGTACTGTTGCAAAGCAGGAACCTCCGTTTGCTCTAGGTCCGAGAACCCAGGGAGCTTTTTGCCCCGCCTTGAACGACCACGCAGTTCTTGATAGGCTTTAGGAGAGACACAGTACACGGAGAGATTTTCTTTGAACTCGTTGTAGTCCCGAGCCATGGTCGAGAGGTAGATGCCATCATGCTGCTCGTCTTCTTGGTCTAAGCTTGCGATGGTCTGACCGAAGTCATGTTTGATCTGCTCTTTCGCAAAGTTATTACGAGCCTCGATGCAGAATCGAAGGTCATCAAGTTCGATCTTTCGATACTTCTCAATACCCCGGTCGGCATCACGCCTTTGACCTTGGAGTTTCTTCCGCTGAGCTTTTTAGAGCTTGCAGGTGGCGCAGAAGTTCATGAATCTTATCCTCGGCGTCGTCTGAATCTGAGACTTCCATGCCTTCATAGTCGCTTAGTCGAAGAAGCCCATCTTGGGCTGAGTCGTCATAACTTCTGGTCTTCTTCCTTTTCTGGGGTGTAAGCAGGGCTACATCGAGATTAATGTCTTCATCCCTCAGTCGCTCTTCTAAGTCTTCAATTTCATCCTCAATTGGCTCAAGCTCTGTGAGGATCTGTTCTTTTTGGTCTTGATATTCTCGAAACTTCATTTTCGGGGCGTCAAGCCTGTCCGAGGACTCTTCCAAATCATCAATAGGTGGCAGCTCGAGCCCTAAAGATTGCAGCACTTCTGCTGGAACAAGGTCATCGGTCTTCGTGCAGACAAATGTGATGTCGTTAAATGCATTATCCATGTGCATCTGGATCTTGAAGTTCTTGCCCAACAAATCATGAGCAACTTTGTCGTTGACCGCACGATTGATGGGCGCCACTATCCAGTGTGCGGAACACCGCTTCATGTACTCGTCAGCCACAGCCACACGCGCTGCATTTGAATCAGAGACACCGGGGAGATCAACCAGAACAGCCTCGGCCGACAAGGCCTTGGCCTTGACATAAATCCGCACGACATGAACGAGCGGCCAAAGTCCGATACCTTGGTCAGCGGAATCCGATCCTTCTGACAAATCTTTTGGGTGGCCAAGAGCGGCCTTCTTAGCCGAAGATTTGGGTCGACTCTTTTTCTTGCCTTTACTGTCGATATATGACTTTAACTCATCAGCGAAACTCTTGGAGTTATTGTCCTTGATCGTCACTGTTTGGCCCAAAAGGTCCGAGACTCTTTCATCCTTCAGAAGCTCGCAAGGCGAGGTCTCTAAAAGTGCTTGCCGCTCGAGAGCAGGGTATACAGCCATGATCTTTTGTAAGGCGACTGTTGCCTCGGCGTCCTTTGGCTCTTCGCCACGAGCAAGTTCTTCTGAATGGACACGGAGCTCAGCAAATAGAATATCTAGCTCGCGCTCCCAGCCTTCGCGCTGAATGAACTCAACTTCTGCTCTATATCGCGACTCTCCTTTGTTGTAGTGGACCTCGACCGGGACCGCGGTGGATGCTCGCATGCAATCTGTGGTCAGGATGTCTTTTTCGTCGATGAGGGCATTGACCAAGGACGATTTCCCCGCGCCAGTGCTTCCAGCAACTCCAATGACGACCGTTTCCTTGCGGGCTTTATCAAGAGTGCGCTTGATTTTGTTTGGCCAGTCGGGCTCACTTTTCCAGTTTTCAGGCTCACCAAAGACTTGGCTCAAGCTCGTCACCACCTTGATGCCTTTCCTTACTGCTGCCTCGAGCGCTTTAATTTCTTGATCTGCGTCGTTGGCACTGTGCTCCTCCGAGGATAAGTTTTCAGTCGCACCGGCGTTCTCATCTTGGGCTGAGCGCGACCCAGAAACATCATCAGGGCTCAGCAACATTTTCACTGCTGATATGAATGCAGAAACTTCAGACACAAGTCAGCAAGTCTACCACAGTTGGTGAGACAATTTGAGACGGGTCTCTAATGAGAGAAGTACTGACGCTGGATTGTAAAAGCTGCTGCCGCTTGGTTGGAATCTAGTTCTGCATAAAGCTTGGCGTAAAGTGCATTGGCAAACTCGTGATCGTTCACCTGTGCCCCCTTGTACTGATCTGATGAAGCTAATTTTGAAGCTCGAGCTGTATACAGGGCTCGAATGTGAGGTGGTTCGTCTTTCCATTTGGTGTCAAAGTCTGGACTTGGGGATGCTGCAATGCATTTCTTAGCCAGTCTCCTTATTCATTCCCCGCATATGTCAACAAGAGCTTACCAGTCTTGTATCCTGGGCGAAGATGGCCGTTTCGGAATGGCTGCTCGACTATGTAATGTATCTTAGCCAAGTGATCGACCAAGGTCACATCTTCTGACTGCAGCGACATGGTATCCTGGTCCTAGATACCTTGCATGAAGCACAGATGGAAAATTTTGTCAAGAAAACGTTAGGATTCAGTAGGTGTGATGAAGCGAGCAGTTGAGCTCATGGATATGTAGTCAACAATCTCCAACCGATGATATTTAATGTCGAGTAGTAGTAGTATGGTATCAGTAGGAGAGACCGATTAATAGGAGGACAAAGATGGATAGAAGCGATATGGAAGGGAGGGAGAGATGATGATGGGAGGGGAGAGAGATGCGGAGGGCGGAAGAGATGGAGAGGGTGGAAGAGATGTAGAAGGTGGAAGAGATGCAGAGGGTAAAGGGGAGATGAGAGCTGGAAGAATATGGGGTGAGAGAGGAAGCAGGATGAAAGATTCAGCTTCTCTTCAATGCTGTAGATGACGAAGCAGAAAATCTTGGACTGTCTCGATGTCTCAAAGTTCAAGTGAAGGTATGATCTCTTAGTGCTTTGATAACGCAGAGTCAGTGAGCACGTGGTAGCATCTGTCTCCAAGAAGTAGAGGGGATAAAATATATTACGATCAAAAAATAGTATGCAGCACAGCTGATTAGAGGTCAAGTATAAGTAGCTGAAGTAAACCAAGACTAAATCGAAATTGTGGGTATCATCGCTCTCTGATGCATCAAATAGGGCCAAAAGGAACAGAAAGGCAACCAAGATACAGACGGAGAAACCAAAATAAATACAGCTTCTCTCTCCAAAAAGACGTTCACTCATCATTCCAACACAAGATGAGACTAAGTACTGGTCAGGGGTTTTTCTCAGCCCGAGAGAGCCCGGTTCGCTCTCCTGCGAGCCACGGCTGACCAGCGCGATCTCCGACTACTGCTATCTTCTCTTGCTCGATCGGGAAGTGGAACGAAAGGTCGATCGTAGATGTGATTTTCATATGGTGGAGGCTGGTCGGAGTATTCCGAGTCGGAAGCGTAGTCATCAAAGACTGATGGAGAGGATGGATGTCCGCCTCTGCCAGTAGCACTGTGTATCGGACGAGGAGCCAGCGGGGAAAGATATGGCGCGGATGACAAGGGCGACGGAGGCTTGAGGACCCACAGTTCTTCCGACTCAAGCCAGATGAGTTGGCTGGCCGGTTGAGTGGATGTTTCGCGGGACATAGGGCCGGTGGTGTGAGCAGGCTGAAGAGTGAGGTCTGTCATGCTCCTACTCCGCGACGCCCAGGGAGAATACGCAAATGATGATGAAGGTGGAGGAGGAGGCAGGTTGAGAGCCGGGTAGGAGGTTGTCGATGGGCTTGCTTCGCGAGGGCTAGGTGTACTCAGATCCCCAGTCGAGTGTATTCTGAAGTGACAGCGGCGGCAGAGTCTAGGGTCCTGTCGCTCTTGGGGTGAATATGGACAATAATCTGCCTTTGGCCTGGGAGAGTCGCATGCAGAGGCAGGACGCTGAGGTAGTGTGCTAGCCAAGCCAGTATCAAGGCGGATACGTGGGACAGTCATGTATTCCTTTGGGCTCTCCGACGAGACAGTAAAGCGCGAGTCCGCGATGGGAGGGCCTTCTAGTGACGAGAGATCCATTTGGACAAGTAGCGACGGCGGGGTAGCGCTCAGAGTGATGAGTTAAGGTAAAGCACAAGCAGCCGAGACAACCTGATAGCGAGAAGCAACCATGTACACTTCGGGTGGTACGAGTCGATATCGGGAAGTAGTAGAGTGGAGGGGGATACGAGAAGTTGCGGGAGGGAAAAGGCATGCGAGAAATTGGACAACAAAAGTCCCGACAGCGGCCACGCTGTCGTTTAATAGACATGAAGTCGAGGCGGAGTCACCAGCATCAAGACGCCGAGCGTCTTGCTCAACTCTCCGATGTGCACGGTCATGACGGCTTTCTTTGACCGTCACAAGCAACAAAGAAGTCAGATGAGACAAGACCACCAACAGGGCCAATCCGCACGGAAAGCCTTACTTGCGCCTCATTGTGGGCTCACCAGATCCAAGCTATCTGGGCCCGATGGAGGGAGCGGTGGAGCAGACAGCTCATGAACAGGTCGGGAAGGATCGAACAATCTCAAACTGTTGGTGGAGGAGACTCGGGTTGCCCGGCTGGTGTTCGCCTTGGTCTGGAAACCAGCCAGGAATCCGATCCGTCGGGAGCCTTCTGCCCCCGCTATAGAAGGATCTTCCTGTTTGCCCTGTAACCTCCGATCCAAGTCCCATAGGATTTGACCCATCACTTGGGGGAGGGGCAGAGGCGCACGGCAGCAGGATCTGATTTGGGGGGAGGTGGTGCACCCTATGTTGTGTGATGTGCAACCACTACGCCCGAAGCAGAACGACGCAGAACGCGGGGACGCCGAGAAAAGCATGCTTTACTGCATGGAGCGACATCCATGGGCTGCAGACGCCATGGTAAGGAGCTCATGTTTCAGAGTTGAGAGCTCTAAAAGGGATTGAGGAAGCGGAGGCTGCGTGATGGCCGCAGGCGTTGGTGTGTTGGTGGCAAGTCAGTGGTTCGGAACACTGCCACTTCCTTTGTTGTCCGAGCTTGTGTCCGCTTCTGCATTACGGCGGAAAAGGTCAATCTATTTGGGTCATTAGACTCCAGATGGATCTCCACCCCACAGAAGGATGATAAATGAGAGCCCCCTTTTCGTGTGTCTGTGTTGGTAGTGGGAACAACAGTACGAGGTAGAATGCGAATAGAGAAATTGTTGTTGTTGTTGTTGTTGTTTGTTGTCAGACCGACTATTAGATGGAGGGAAGGAAGGAAGTATGAGAAGCGACGGGCCGAGACCAACACATGACCAGCCAACCCGAATGGGGAGGAGGAGGAGGAGGAGGGCCGGAGTCGAAATTTGTAGTCAGCAAAGCAAAGCCTTAGGAATAGCAAGAGAAAATCAGTAATAAATACAGCAATAACAACACATACACACACAGCCACCATGAAGTCCCTCTCGTCTTACTTGGGAGAACAGATAACAGAGACCCTCCTCTGAAGCTTCTAGAAACCACCTCCAAGAATCTCTCCAGCTTAAAGAGATAGGGCTGACGGTGACACAATTGACCAGAGCAAGTCACTTTTAATTTAGCACATGCTTTCATGGACTGACTAATAGCTTACTCCAACATAGCATAGTTATGAAACGAGCGATGGACCACCACTTCCACCACCACCACTCATCTGACTAGCAGTAAGCGGTGTGCAGGGGGCAGGGAGGCAGTGCTCAGATACTCCAAAGTTCAGCCTCAATTCTGCTTGGTCCCCCTCCGTGTTGTAGGACGAGAATCACCAATGGAACGCCCCGCGCCATCGGATCTGACCCGGTCGCCGATTGATGAAGGATTGCCTGTGAAACCCTCGGTGCTGCGGCCCCCAGACCACATCCATGCACACTCACACCCTCTCTCTCCTTCGTCTCCTCCAGATTCAGCCCCATTGAACAGCCTATCCTTGCTTTTGGGTTCTGTAGGCACATTGAACACGTCAAGACCCCAGCAGCAGACTAGACTACCTACGGCTGAACGAAGCGATCGGTGGCAGGTCACCCACCCACCGTGGGCTGGCCGGGCTGGCTGGGGCGGGGTTTTCTGCGCAAGTAATCAATCTGCAACACACTCACAATTTTGAGATTTCGCGGTCAGAATGGTGATAGATGATGCATCAAGTGACATTTCAACCTTCGAAAAACCAAGGAGGAAAAGAAAGAAAAGTAGCATTGGTAAAGTAATCTATTACTGCTTCGAATTGGGTATGTGAAAGCAATTCATGGGTTACATTAATCGTATCCAGCCACCAAAAAAGGCTTCCACTGAACCCCCCAAGGCGTTCCAGGAAGCATGTAGAGAAAGTTAGATAGGTCAAAGAAAATATTTCAAGCAACGAATCGGATTTCTCTCCCAGAAAGCAAAACCTCAACACTTAAATATGGCACAAACCCCCCAAAAACAGGGTCTCTTCAATTATTCACACGTGCCCTAGTTTATAGGGTTCCCCCGCCCGTAGTTGACGGCCGGACTCTCATGAAGGACCCCGGGGGCTACTATGGACAAGAAGGGGGAATCTAAGCAAGGAAGAGAGCGGCAGCGGCGGCGGCACCAGCGAAGGCAAAGGAGTTGCCGTTGATGGCGCTGGCAGCACCGGTGTAGAGAGCAGCAGAGGGGGAGGGGCTGTGTACAGGATTAGCGTCTGTTTGGTCTGCATACATATATACATGCTGCATGCACTGCAGCATAAAGGGAATTACTCACGTAGCGCTGCCGCTAGGGTAGCCGCTGCCGATGGCGGCGGCACCGCTGGGGATCAGAGCAGCGGACTTGGTGGGCTTGCCGCTGCCGGGCTTGCCAGGGAGGCCAGTGGCACCAGCACCGAGAGTGACGGTGGAGTAGGTGACGGTGGGAACGCAGGTGGTCACAGCGATAACAGTGACGGAGCTGCTGGCAGCGGCGGGGGGAGCACCACCGGCAGTCTCGGCGGAGGCGCCGGAGGGGACAACAGCGGGAGCCGAAGGAGCGGAGCCGGAGCCGCTAGCGGGGGAGCCACCAGCAGGGGAACCACCAGCGGGAGAGCTGCCAGCAGGAGGCTGGGGAGCAGCGGTGGTACCAGCGGCGGAGGCACCCTCGGGGACAGAGGAAGTGGGCTTCTCAGTGACGGAGGAAGCAGGAACCTCGGGAACGGAGGTGGTGGTAGCAACGGGAGAGACGCCCTCAGTGGTGGTAGCAGCGACAGCCTCGGGGGTAGAAGTCGAGTGGACACGTCCAGGGCAGTTGGTGACGGTGGGAGCGCAAGAGATGATGGTCACATCCTCAGTCTGGTAGACGGTCTCGACATCCTGGGGGATGGCAGCAACGAGGCTGGCGAAGAGGGCAACGGTGGCAACGGAGAAACGCATCTTGAATGTTGTGTTGGTGGATTTGGTGATAATCTAAACCGTCAAGGTTGATTCTGTTATTTGGGTGTGGTGGGTAAAGAGAGTGTGGACAGTTGGGCTGTGTTTAAAAGAGTGGCAGACCGAAGTCAAGAGGATTGATTGCTTCAAGCAGTTGAATCTGAGGAAAAGAGAAACAGAGAAGAATCAGAAAAGATTGGAGCAGGAGGAGGGGGGAGATGAGAGCCTTTGTATCATCCGGGAGATTAACCTGGAGATCGTTTCAGGGCCAAAAAGGGGAGAAGCGGGCTGCAGGCGAGTGGAGAGAAGTCTTGGATGTCTGATGTTGGCTCTTGGGGCGCGGTGTAGGAGAGTAGATTTAGTCCAGGATAGTATAGTCTAGTTTGGAAGTTTGATACTCGAAACCTCATAGGCAGTTTAAGGGTCAAAAATGGGTCCACCCTCATCTGTTTTTTATTTTTTATTTTATTTCTGGTCCTCGTGGGATGGTCTCACGGTTGGTCCCTGTGCCCACTGCCCACTGCACAGGTTCGGTCCAAGCGCGGGCGGTTCTGAACTTCGGAACTTCTGAACTTCTGATGGATGATCGGTTGTTCAATTGCTTCTTTCGACCTTGTCGACTTCCCTTTTTGGTTGGATCTTCTGCGCTTAGGGGTTCTCTAGTCTCTCTCCAAGTCCCTACTACTCCGTACTCGGGTCGGGGTCGAAGTATAACACTACCAGCTATAGATTTCCTTTTAGCTCCAGCAAGAGGCCGTACCTGCATAACATGTATGTAGGTACCCTTTGGTGGTATGAGTTAGGACGTGATGAACGACCGGACCAAGCTCTGTGGTAGTTTCATGATTCATGCAGAGTACACAAGCCGAGTAACAGAAAATGCGAATGTGCTCAGCTGGGACTGGCGAGACACCCAGAAGTTTGGGCTGTCACACCGCACCCAGCGATATGATGAGAGTCAGGGGCAGCAACTCAATTACGGAGTTGTCTAGTCTGCTTAGTAGATACTGAGCCACAGAAACGTTGGAGGCCCGCTTAGTAGTCCGTGTTTCACCTTTCCTCTTTAGGCCAATCAGCGCGCGCTTCTGTGGGCCACGCAGCAATTGTCCCTGACGCCACCGACCACTCACCGTCTTGGCTGACATCCCGCTGTGGCTCGCTTCCCCGCTGTCCTCCCTTTCACGGAATCCCAGTGGCCAGCACAGTGGGTCCCCTCATTGCCCCTGTCTCGCTGCTGCGAAGTTCGGCCTTCCATTGTGCTGGTGGTGGTGGTGGTGGTGGTGGTGGTTGTTATTGTTGTTGTTGTCTTGCTTCGGCCAAAGGCTTGTTGGTAGTCAAGACTCAATAGGCAAGTTGACGACTAGCCTACTAGACTACCGAGTCAAAGCCAATGGGGCAAAACCTAAACAATGGATAGTGTGTCCTATTTTTGCTCGGACAAGATTCTTCCACCGAGGAGGTTGTAAACCCCATTCTGCGAAAGTATGCGGTTAGCAACCCGACTGACTTTTGCCGACTGGAGGCGATCAATAATCACAAGACTAGATAATGCCGCTGGTGTTGACCATAGCGCCTGGTGCTGGAGGGCAACGGGCTGGGCGAGGGTTAAAGCCTCCGTCCCGGTTCCTCGTGAAACCCTTGCTTGTTTAGGATTTTCTTTGAGCTTGTTGCACTTCGACCGATGGTTGCGTGCAACTTCTGACGTAGCTTCACAACGATGATAAGCGGCAGCACCTCGCCCAATCCATGAAGGCACCTCCGCAGTAGAAGGCTCATTTCATCGCAAATGATCCAGTTCTCTCTGGTAACCACTGGCCCCATCGTATTAGACGGTCCAGAGTCTCGCTCGGCGCCACGGTCGTCCTCATTGATTGCTTAATCTAAACCGACTCGTCGCTAATCGAGATTCGGCTAGCCCCTTGACTCTTGACCTCGAGAGGGGGAATACCACCTTCCTGGCTGTCCTTTTTGACTTTCTTTCTTTCCATTGAGCCGTCGAAGCGATGGGCAGACATTGTACAGTACTGTACGTGTCGAGATCAGCGTGGTTTGTGGAACGCGGCAGAAGCAGGAGAAGAACAATGCAGTGACGCGTTGGAACCTGAAAGACGCCGTGCCTACAGCAAATGCATGCAGAAGAGGTGATGGCGCAATCGAGAAGGAATTGATTTGATTGGGGGAAGAGAAGAGTTTCGGAAATGGGGGTTGCAGATGGAGCCGTGAACCGATTGAGAACAGATGGTAGCCGCCCAAATGCAGCGATCGCATGCTGGGCGGGCGGCTAGCATGGGGTAAGTGCGAGTGACTTAGTCGCAGGGAACTTAACTTAGCAGCTATTCATGCCACCATTGAAATGTCACTATCATCGGCAGACTATTGGAAGCCTCTTTTCTTGCTATTAAAAGCTCAGACGGGCTCGTCCTTGGGAAAATTTGGGTGATCATCTCCGAGAATTTCACCCCCAACCCTGATCCGTTGCGGCACGGTTTCTTTTTTTAGGGGAAGAAATTCGGTGCGAGGAACTGTGAGAGAGTCAGATGGGAAAAGGGGGCCAATATGAACGGCCAACTTGGGATCCATGGTCAATAGTGGTATTCCTGGACTCAGAAGTTGTTATTGTCAAGGATGGCGGACAATTGTTTAACCCCGTAGTGGCAGGAGGAACCATGATATGCAGCGAACATAGCGTCAGGAGAATCCTATCCTCAATGCCGACAGGGGCGGGCGGGAAATCGCAAGAATGCGAACGATCCTGGCCACTATAAATTGCTGGCACACCCTGCAAGCACTTGACAAAACTCTTGGCTCAGCACTCAGAGGTTAAAAGTGCAGAATAATGTTCAAGACTCCAAGTGCCGGTCCGGTGCTGGTTGAAGTCTGCTCCACCGATCAACAGGGGGACGAACTGGCAATCAATCGGCTGCGATGTCCAACTTCGGGTTCACACTGACGTGGAATTGGAGCTTCTTCCTTACCCCGGGTTTCTGATTGATGGTGTTTGAGCAACCTGAGTGGAGTGAGAAGCATTGGCCTACCCTGGGATCTGGTGTAAGGTGTGACCAACCTCCGCTATTCTCGTCGTCATCATCCAAAGCATGTAACGAGTTGTCATAGAATCGGAGACTGCGTCGATGATCAGGGTCGACGCGCCAACGATGAGAACATGGCGGGACTCACTGACGCTGATCAAGTAAGTGTCTTGGAGATTTGGGGTGGGGGAAAGACCTGCTTCAAGCGAGGATCGTCAACGCCGCGCGTTCTACCGTAGATGCTCGTAGCAACCTCTACTCTACTCAATTCTCTGGTCCTGCATTTGAGAGGGTGACTTGGAGATCGTGATAGAGTGTGGCCACGGCGCATGACCGCTGCATAATCGAGAACAAGCCTCGCCGCTTGGCGCCGTTGTTGGTCGTAGGGCTACACTAGTACTCGGTATCAACGGAGGAGAGCCGAGGATGATGGACTGTTCTTTTGTCGAAGCCACAGGGTATGAGATCATTAAGGTGCAGCTCCCTTCCGATTGCTACTGATAGGTACCTCAAAATGGCCCTTGCTAGTCCACATTTCTCCCAACAGATGCGGAGTACCAACAATTCACATCATCCTCATCGTCATAATCGGTTGGCCCCGTCGCTATGGCGGTGCAAAATTGGCGGATGCTATTTTAAACCGGCTCAATAGTGGGTCGGGGAGCGTTTGTGGCTGCCCCCCCCCCCCCCCTCCGATATGCTTGCTGGTGGCTTCGGAGAGATCGAAAGTTTTAAAAATAAAGACTTGGTGAAAGGGAGCGAGCCAGCGTCATTTGATGGATGTCTGTGTGTCTTTCCACAAGGCTGAAGATGGCACGTGTCATGTTTACTCCTCGTCCTGGGCGGTCGATGATGGTCCAAGAACAATCATCAGCATCATCATCACTACGACAACTACAACAATTGCCCCAATCAGAAAGTGAGGAACGTGTAGAGAGCAATTTCACGGCCCCTTCCCTCATCTCCTACCGAAATGCATTTCTTGGAATGAGCTGAGAATAACTGGGACGAGGGGAGATGAGATGTCCGACGGGCCACAAGCACTGGCTGGTATAGATTGAAGGTGGAGTTCCGGGTGAAAGTACCGGATCGGTAGGATGGAGCTTCGAAGCCAGCCAGGGACAAGGCAGGCAGATCAAGTAGCTAAACTATCAATTACTTGAGAACTGACCGGTGAACGGTCAAAACCCTCGCTTCCACTCGATACTCTCACAAAATCTGCGTTCATTGGATGGAGAGCTGAAAAATGAGTTTTTTTTGTTTTCCAATGCCCGCAATTGAAGAGTTTTCATGGATGCCTATGGTTGCCCGTCCCTTAAGGCATCGGCTGGACTGGACTGCACAATAGAACAATCGACTGTTGACAATACAATAAATAAGCTGGATGGACAATCTAGATCCAAACAAGAGTTAATAATAAAAGTCATCGATATCCACCTTCAACGTGAGATAGATGAAGTGTGTATCTAAAAGGTGAATTAACTCCTTGGAATTGGCAGGAGTATATAAAAAGATCGCCGAGTGGACACTGAGCTGTCAAGAATAGTAGCAATTCTCCAGCGCTTTTTGAAACAGTGCGGTTCCACCAGGTCGGATTCCCTCGCCTGTCATGGACTCATGGCCATTAGGTATGTCGGGGATGTGATGTGATCATATTTAATCCCGGCTGTTAGCTGTCTTGACTTTGGAACTAAATCACTTTAACTACTTACTTAGACTTATAAGTTGCTTGCTCCGCTTGTTATTTGCAGTCTAGTTGTTAAGTTGTTAAGTTCGTGGTGTGGAGGTTCGTTCCATCAGCTGTTTGCCAACTGACAAAATCAGCGCCCTCCTCTTCTTTTCTTCTTCTTCTTTCTTACAACAGACACCAACAACTTTTTCTCATCTTTTGAAATCACCCAAAAGTGGTCTTGAGTCGCAGTCGCCCTCGCTCGCTTGGTTAATATTGCGACTTCGATGGCATTGTCTGCTACTTCATCTGTCAACTGACTTGATTCGATTTACCCGGCTGTTTTTGTTATCGCCAACCCCTCTCTCTCTCTTCTCCTCTCAGCCGCCGCCGCCTGCCTGGTTAACCCCACGGCCCTCTTTGTTCCGACCACCTCACCACCACCACCACCACCACCACCTCCTCTTCTTTCTCATCTCGACAACAATCATCTCAGCTTTCCATAGCCTCCAAACCCCCTCTTTTCGTCTTCCCAGCTCCTCCCCTACACTCTTTCAAAGTGTCCAACCTAAAGACCGCCGATCTGGCTACCTTGGCTGACCCCAACGAGTTGTTTTTGCCTGGTGAGAGGCAAAACAATCTCGCAATGTCACCCTCGCCAGTTCCCCTCCTCAAACCGCCTGTGCCGGGTAATCGCAGCAATGGCAGCAGTCCGCGACCCCCCAAACTCACCCTGGGCATTCCCCCTTCTCCCAACGCTCGTCCCGTCACAGGAAACGGTGTTCCGGCCACTGTAGCGCCCCCGCCGACCGAGGTTCCTCAGCTGCAGCGCCCGGCTGCCCGCCCAGCTCCTCCCCAGCTGCGCCTCGCTACTCCCATGGGTAGCACTCAATCCATTCCCCAGGTTAAACCCCGACCGGCCCCTCCACCGTTGGCGACCAGCGGCCTGAACGAACCGAATGGACACTCTAGAACGGGCAGCTTCACCTACCTCGACGGGAAGGCCAGTGGGCCGGCCTCGGCTTCCTCCTCCAACTATTCCGCCTTATCGTTCGCTATGGGGCTCCGACAACCGCATGGCAGCACCCCCGATCCATCGTCTGCGATCAGTTCGGTCTACTCCGACCGGGAAGGAGGCATGTCAATGGAGCGGGACGGCAGCGTCAACAACTTGATCCCGGATCTGGATAAGCTGAGCTTGGAAAAGGGCAGGCCCCTCGACGTGGACGACCTGGATGATGAGGGCTGGCTCGCAGCCAGTGAACAGAAGAAGATCGTGGAGCTGGGTAGTCTGGGTGAAGGAGCGGGAGGTGCTGTGACTCGTTGTAAGCTCAGAGAAGGAAAGACCGTCTTTGCTCTGAAGGTGAGTTGCGCAGCTGAAATGCCACACTTCTCAAGGGTACTAAACGCTGTCCCAGATCATCACAACCGATCCCAATCCCGACGTCAAAAAACAGATCGTTCGCGAACTCAATTTCAACAAAGACTGTGCCTCGGAGCACATCTGTCGCTACTATGGTGCATTCATGGACAAGTCCACAGGAACAATCTCGATCGCAATGGAATTCTGCGAAGGTGGCAGTCTGGACAGCATCTACAAGGAAGTCAAGAAGCTGGGAGGCCGGACAGGAGAAAAGGTGCTGGGCAAGGTCGCCGAAGGTGTCCTAAACGGCTTGACCTATCTCCACAGCCGAAAGATCATCCATCGAGGTAGGCGCTCAGGCATCCATTTTCGTCCATTGGTGATCGGACCTGTCTAATCCGGCATGTACAGACATCAAACCATCCAACATTCTCCTTTGCCGAAACGGTCAAGTTAAGCTTTGCGACTTTGGTGTCAGTGGAGAATTCGGTACCAAGGGTGATGCGAACACCTTCATCGGTACATCGTACTACATGGCGCCTGAGCGAATCACTGGACAGTCGTACACAATTACATCGGATGTCTGGTCTTTGGGCGTGACTTTGCTTGAGGTCGCCCAGCATCGCTTCCCCTTCCCTGCCGATGGAACGGAAATGCAGCCACGGGCCGGTTTGATTGATCTTCTAACCTACATTGTCCGTCAACCAATCCCCAAGTTGAAAGACGAGCCCGACAATGGTATCCGGTGGTCAGACAACTTCAAGTACTTCATCGAATGCTGGTATGTACCTGTGTCCCCCTCCCATGATGGGTTTGCGTGACTAACGATGAAACTAGTCTGGAGAAAGAACCTCCACGACGAGCGACTCCATGGCGGATGCTGGACCATCCCTGGATGCTAGACATGAAGAACAAGAAGGTCAACATGGCCAATTTTGTGAAGCAGGTGTGGGATTGGAAAGAATAGACTGCCTGAACAGCATCAGGACCGCCGCGACCATTCGTGCCCTCATTTCTTCCATTGGGCTGATTTTGCTACCTCTATTAATACGATCGCATATTACGGTCTTCCCTCTTGATGCTGACAAGTGGCTGGCCCTTGGTTGACCCGGATGTCAACAGCATACGAATCTGTGATCATGACGCTCATTTTTATTCTCATCCGTGCACTGTCTATCCTTCCTTGGGGACCATGGAGTTGGAAATGTTTTTGTGCCCTTTTTTGACTATCCTCGCCCGACATGATCACGCCTTTCCTTAATACAAATCCCTCCCTCCCGCCAGCGACAAGGCCCGAATTGTCTCCGCATCCTCCCTTTCTTTTCTTCCACCAGCAAGAACCAACCCATTTGCATTCATCCGGCAACTCGATGTTGTTTTCGCATTTGCTCCAACAAAAAGGGGGATTTCTCTGTTTTGCCCGACAGCCAGCGGTGCTGGCTCTTTTTTCTTCTGTTTTTCCCCTTGCGTGTTCCATCTTGATTTTCCCGGTCTTGTCATCTTGCACGTGAGCGATTCCGTCCATACATAACATACATTCATACATACATCTTCACAGAGAGTTCCTCCCGCCCCCCTCCAAGCATCATCTTCATTCACATACATATGTGCAACCCCGTTTTCTGTTTTTGTCTTCTTTTTCTGTCTTGCTGCTTTTGCTTTCCCAGATTCTATCTTCGAGGACCGGGTCCGCATCTTGTGTATATTGATTGGCGTCTATCCAATTGAGTCAAATCTCATCATTATCTCCAAGTTCCATCGTACTCTTTCCGTTTTCGACACTAGTAGGCTCATCCTGGTAATTTATATGCTTTGCCCCCCGTGGGGAAGACGGTCACATGATCGAACGCCCGGACCTTGTTGGCCGCCGTCATGTCTGGGGTTGTATGGATCTGGGCGCCGGATCTCTCTTCAAGGCTGCTTGAATCTGGTATTCGTCCCGCCCGGTGACTGTCATTGTCCGGCCATTTTTCAGACTGCTACCGTACCCCGACAGTACTAGAAAGTGGGTATGCCATCTAGTTAGGTGCGTACAGTACAAGTGGGGGGATTTTCATCCAACATGGATCACGGGATCCCAATACGGTATACATTATCTGCATACCCCATGAAGTGCAATCTAGTATTCTTCATCTTGACAAAGACTGCGCAAGAAAGAAAATCGGATATTATTTATAAGATATCATGCCATGCCATGCCTGCTAGCAGCGCTATCAATACAACGAGATAACAATCAGAAATCTTCGCACCCGTCATCATTATCAGACATGCAAATAGAACACGTGATTTCCCTTCGGGGAAGTGCTGGTGGTGTGGCTCTGGTTGAGCCGCGGATATGTGTACGAACACTAAGAACGGTTGACGGGCTGCGCGCCGAGCACCCACCCCAGTCCGCTGACGAGTCCATCCGTCACCATGTTACTGACGACGTCTCTCTTGCGGACGCGATCGGAGGGTGTCCCGCTGCCGGGCTCGTAGTTCTCGGCGGAGACGACGGAGTCGGTGCGTGTATGTGAGGAGCTTGCTGTCGCGGTGTGGGAGGAGGAAGGGGTGAATCCATTGTGGTCGTGGTGGGAGGCGGTGGTGGTCTTGGTGGCTGCGGCGCGGAGCGGGAATGCATTCTTCTGCAGGGCTAGGGCGGCGCCTCGCGCGACCTCGAAGAGGCCCATGGGTGCTTCTTCGTGGTTGAGGCGATGGTGCGAGGCGTGCGCGCGGGCACGGCGGGCTTGGTGCTGTCGCGTTTCCAGGGCGTCTTGCTCGGAGGAGTCGGCGGGCCCAAACCCGCCGGGGAGGCCTTGCATGGTGAGGGAGGATGTGAGGTCGCCCTTCGTGTCCCAGATGTCTTCTTCGAGGGATTCCTGCGTGCGGAGGTTGCCGAGTTCCTCGTCGCAGCGGCGCCAGGCACCTAGAATCTCCGGGAGCGGGTCCGGGTGGTCGGAGGGGACGAGGATGAGGGCGAGGGAGAGAAGCTCCATTCTTTGGGTGAGGTGGGTGATCTGGGACTGCGTGGTGGGAGGGGTGGAGGTGCTGGGCGGCGGCGGGCGATACCGTCCGGCGGAATACACCGTACGCCAGGTAATGTCGTCTGTGAGGATCGTGTCGGGCGTGGATGCGGACGAGGTGGGTGTGAGCCGAGTAAGGATGTAAGAGTAGGCGGTTCCGAAGTCGTGGGAGGTGAGAGCGGAGTTGACGGCTAGAGACATGATGCGGCGTTCGGCGGTGAGGATGGCATCCTGTTCGGAGAGAGGAGCCAGCGTGGAAGCTTCATGGTGATCTGAGAGCCGCGGAGAGAAGCCGGCTGCGACAAGATTGCGGCCGATGGCCAGAAGGTCGTCAACCTTGGTGTAGCTCTTGGGGTTTTGTTCGAGGACTTTTTCAATGAGAGAGAGAGGATCGGAGTGTACGCGGATGCTGACGGGCTGGAAGGGGACGCCGTGCTGTAAGGTGAGGGAGTAGAAGGACAGTGAGTGCGTGGCTGCGATAAGAGCGCTGATCTGCTTGAGAGCAATCGAGTCTGAAAAGTGCGGCTGAAAGGCTTGAAGGCTGGTAATGGCATGCATCAGTGTCGCTCACCTGTGATACATGGGATTAGGACTGAACTTACACTTCGTAGGCTCTCTTCATGCCACCACGAGTTCGATTGCCGTTGCTTGCGTTATCATACGCCGTGTAAATGGTCTCTTTGACGGCCTCTTCGACCTTGGATGACGTCAAGGTTGAGTCGGAGCTGAGATAAATGTCGACGGCGAGTTTGTATTCTGTTCCTTTTAGTTGATATGCTGATGACACGGGCAAAGACAGCTGCTTACCTCTGACTTCAAGCAAAGCTTTCAAGATTTCGACTTCAACAACTTCCCGCTCTACTCGCCAGAAGAGACCGTGGTGAGCAGGGCGACTTTGATCCTGTCGAGATGTGTGATCTGCCTCCCAGTCGCGCAGCCAGAGCAATTGGCGGCGAACCTTGCCCCAGCCTCGGCCAGGCTTGCTCTGTCTAATCACAGATTGAACCACACCGCGCATTTCGAGCAGTTGCGTATCAACATTGTTGTGTAGACAAAGGTTTGCGGCTGTACGGCAGGGCATAGGATGACCGAGCTCACTCAGCACCTGGAGAGAGACGCAAATGGCGCTAAGGAAAGAGATGGAAGCGGCAGACGGACGAGTGAGCGGGTTCGATGTCGTGAGAAGCGCATTCTGCATGAGGGAGACTCTTGAGGTAGACGAGATCTGGTCCGAGTCAAATACCACCGATGGTAGTTCTGCATCATCGTCTCTCAAAGACAAATGCTGTTCCAGGTCCAAGAAACTGGCGATCCGCGCAAGGACTTTGATCGACCCATCCAAGGCCGCTGCGCTGACATCGGCATTTGCGTAGACAACGGCCAGTCCAGTCTGCCCATACCGCGTCCGCAAGTCTTTCATCTCATCATTCGGGAGGCTAGGGTCCTCCTCGGCATAGCCTCCCAGGTCCACATCCTCCGGGCCATCCCAGTTCGTGAATGCGTTGACTGCGCTCTCGTGATCTACCAAACTGCGCGCCAGCAGCCACTCATTAACCTGCTGCCATCCTACCCCTGCATTCGTCCTCGGTTTCACATCGTCCTGCGGAAGTGAAAGTGTGTTCTGCTGCGCGGCTTCGTTGAGCTTCCGCCGCTTGGTCCTGTTGCTGCCATACATCCACGCACCCACCAGCCCGCGGAGGTTCTGCACTAAATCCATGCTAGTTTTCGTATTGCCGGTCATTGAAAGTAAGACATTAATGGCGATGCTGTTGTCCATCGACTCAAGAATGTCCAGAGAGAAGGTCTCGTCCTGGCTGGGGTAATATTCGTAATTCAACCGCAGCAAGGGCAGTAGACTCGATATTAACCATGTGCGGAGGATAGGCGAGCGTGGATAGAATGGTACGAGGAGATCGAGGATGAGGGGTTGGAGAGCGGTTTCGGAGTCGATGCGATGGGCGCGGTGGATCAAGAATTGGGTCAAGAGGTCGGTTGAGTCGTCGGTGTCCTCGTCATCGGGATGCCTCAACGGCAGTAAACGAACCTTGCGTACTCGTTTCCTTGCAATGGTGTCGGTCAGAATCTGGACGGCAGATGTGTCAAGCTCTGCAGCCGTTGAGATGGTGTGCTCTCCATCTACCAAGGCTTCCACAACGGAGGTATATGTCTGGGGCGGGCTACTCTCGGGGAGGAAGGTTAGTATGATGCGCAAGAGGCGCTCGGTTGGCAGCCAGCGAGGGTATCGAGCTTGGAGTTGGGGTAGCCGGGAGACATCGCCGCTGACAGAAAAGTGAATGGCTAACAGAATCGCATGAGCACCTGAGAGCCGAGAGGGACTGGCCATGGCGCAAGAAAATAAGGAAACCCAAGCCAAATGTATAAAAACAAGAAGAGGCTGCTTGAAGGAAAGAGGGTGATGTGTTCGTGTTCGTGAGCCACGAAAGACGTCAAGCCTCCCGTCCCGAGCGAGCGAGTCCCGTGCACAGACCGACTTCCGAGGCGGAAAGCAGAATCCAGCCAGTTAACCAATCAATCCCGGGCGGTGGGAGAACGAACCTCGATCGCTCATTGCACTCACTCTCTCACTCACTCAAACCTCCGTTCCAGCAATCCCTCCACCCCCTCTACGAACGCTCTGCGCCTCCGCCCTTTCGATCTCCTATTTCCACCCTCTCTCAATCTCACAATGGCTTCCGGCTTCGGTAACAACGGCGGTATGTTATTTCTCTGCGTGGGCTGCGGGCAATTGACTGCCATTTTGGCTGGCTTCGCCGGCCCAGGTGCCCGCTTTGACAGCTTCGCCGCGGACCTTGTCGGCTGACTCGCTCTCTTTTCCAGGTCCCTCCCGCTGCTACAACTTCTGGCAAGAGGTACTGGGTTGTTATGTTGTCAACTCGGCCGAGGGTGAGGTGGGCAAGAAGAAGTGTCTGCCTGCCTTGGAGGATTACCACGAGTGCCTGCACCACAAGAAGGAGGTACGCTTGAACGAACCGATTCTGATCTGCCATCTCGCATTATTTCGGTCGCCGAAACGGACCGGGCTAGACGAGGTGGGAAGAGTAATAGTCCTTTTACTGACCTCTCTCTTTCATCTCTAGATCATGCGCACGATGAAGATGCAGGCTGCCTACCGCAAGGCGGAGGCCGCCCACCCCCGCGACAATGCGCCCAAGGCCGAACAGATCCGCAGTCTAGGATTGCTAGGGAAGGAAGAAGAGTCGGCTGCGTTCTTGACACGGGCATGAGAGGCATGTTGTGCGCATATCGGGAGTGTGGATTTCATGTTGATTGTTTCAATTACTACCAAGATTCTGCTGGTTTGTTTATCCTTTCTGTCTGTTCATCACTGCGAGGTCCTTCACTGTATAGAAATGGACAATTTTCCTTTTTGTGCCTGCGGGGTTTGTGTTGGGTCCAAGCTTGAGGTCGGCAATGACAATGGTCGCTCTCCATCCATGATGATGATGATGACGATGAGGATGACAGCACATCCCAAGTCCAGCAAATGCTGGTGCACATATCTAAATGGCACTGGTTGTCATTGGTCAGACCCCCATTAATGCTGTGTGTAGTTCCGGGGGTTCAATCCTATTTGGCACGTGTTATAGTGAAGAGGAATATTGGCAAGACAAAGAAACGGCGAAAACAAAGCAAGGCAGGTCAATGTGTAGAGGCGTCATAAGTAATACAGTACATCAATAACAACAATTTTCTTCCATGACTCTGCAATATTACAATCATGGAGGGCTTTTATCATGTTCTGGGGTGTACTCCATATCACTGTTTTGCAGGACATGATGGCAGAATTCGAGGACTGGAGCTGGATTGATGGAACTATATATATCTAGCCGGGTTTAGTCTATGGGATTTTCAAGCACCAATGTACACGATGTGATTGGTTCATCAATCTCCCACGTCATCCGAGGCTCAGAGGCTGTCATCTTCCGGGACTTGTCAAGGCTGGATCGACTCCCTGAGTCGTTAGCGACCTCTAAGGAGTCGTCAGCAGAATAATCTATCGCCGCAGTCGTCGTCTTTGACCACCCGGGATGGAGTCGCGCGACGAAGAATTTGCGGCGGAAGCAGGAGGCCATCTGGCATTTTCTTGGCACGCTATGGAGGGGGCGATCGAAACAAGCTCACATGGCGGTCTCACTGGAAACGCACGCAAGTCATTTAGCTATAGGTTGCTACATACATATATTCATCTCTGCGCGGTGAATTATTGAATGCAACACGCAGGGCCTATCCCCGTCCGGCTGCTGACGGAATCGCAATATAGCAATAGTGTATTTATTTGTCTGAGAGGGATTGTTCCCTAAGTGAGTGTCTGGGTTGGTATAGCATATGCAAGTAGGAGAGTAGACATAGGCTGGCTATCAATCAATCTCTTTTTCTCCCTTTCCTTTTTTCTTTTTTTTTTTTTTTTTCCTGCGCAGGGAGAAGAACTCACGTGACCCAGCGAAAACCTTTACGGGAGTGGGGGGCACTAATCCGGAAGCAGGCTAGTGCCCAGGGCCCAAGTATGGGTAGGCGCGCCCAGGCAAAGATGCCCCCAATGATATAAACAGGCTGCGTGACCTCGAGGGCAGGCCGAGCAGCTCTTGTTGATGCTCCTGTGCAGCCCCAGCCCCGGTACACGCCCCGTCCGTCCGCCGTCCTTACTTACCTACCTACCTACTTACTTAACCTATTTTACCTACTTTAAGTACAAAGCTACAAAAGTTGAGCTATTGAGTACTACTACCACCACTACCACCACTACCACCACCACTACAAGTACTACTCAACTCAGCCTGTCTCAGACTGGTCTCCGACCCTTCATTGTCAACTCCATCACATTCCCGTCATCTTTCGAATTCTTTTTATTTTATACTGGTGGAATTCGAATCCCTGATATCATTACCGCGAATTCTTTTCCATTCCGGGATCCTTCATGATTCACATGATTCATTGCATCCACGCGGAGTGACTGTTCATTATAACAACCTTCAGCTCGGCTACGGTCATTTTACTTCCACCTGGTGACAACCGTGCCTAGATTAGGATCGGATCTCCACTCATCAGCTTTCGCTCCGATCGCCCTGTGATCTGACGGAAACTGATTTTGTCCAGTGTGTCTGGATTTTCTTTACTTTATTATTCATTTCTTTTTTTTTTTTTTTTTTTTCCTTTTTTTTTGCCCTTTAACCTTTTCCTTCTTCCCCTTTGACGCATAACTCGACGTTGACTCGATGGCTGTGACGTGGGTGTAACCGTCGTGTTTACTTTACATCCGCCTCCCTCTCCTCCACTCTCCGTCGTTCTCTTGCTTTACTTAAATTCCGGAAGGGGGTTGTGGTGTGCTACTGAAAGGAGATTGATTTTACCATTAATTTGTTAATAATTCTGGTCACTTTCTTCGGCTTCGTTCACGATACCCCTGCCTTTTGTTGTGCGATCAGCTTCTTTTTCTTCTCTTTTGATTATTCTTGGATGTGTTATATTACGACCCTCTGTATAGCTTCCTTGTCACAACCTGAATCCCGCCATGACTTCCAGGTAAGTTTCCTGCCATTCCGCTTCCGTCTAGTACCGGCCACTAACCTGTTTTGTTCTAGACTTGACCGTCTCGTCACGTGAGTAATTGATACTATGATCCCTGCACGCTTACCTAAGGAAGGGACGAACTGACCAATCACCACCTGCAGGTTACTTGAGACAGGCAGCACGCCGCTCATCCGCAACACTGCGGCTCAACAGCTGGCCGACGTGCAGAAGCAACATCCGGATGAACTCTTCAACCTTCTCGGTCGCATTCTGCCCTATCTGCGTTCGAAGTCTTGGGACACTAGAACAGCTGCCGCTAAGGCAATCGGCTTGATCGTCACTAATGCAGACACCTTCGACCCCAACGAGGAAGATGGCGATCACATCAAACAGGCTGACGATGAAGATGGCGGCGTCGAGATCAAGTCGGAAGGCGCATCGGCCGCCACTGCCAGTGATCTCCTTAGACTTGAAACCATGGATATCGCCGCCATCCTGAAATACGGCAAGCGGCTGTTGGGAAGCGCAGGCAAGGAGTACGAATACTCATTGGCCGGCATGGATCCAGCCGCTCGACTCCAGCACCAGAAGAAAACCTTGCACGCTCGTCTGGGTCTTGCCGGAGAGTACATCGAGGAGGATCTGATTGATGACGGCGATCTCGTTTTGAAGACGCCTGGAATCAAGGAGGAAGCTCCCCAACATAGAGATAGTATCCACCATCTGCCCTCTACCACCCCTCTTGCATCGCCTATGGAGCCCGCCAATGGCGAGGAGGCCGGGCTCAGTAAGCGACAGTTGAACCAACTGAAACGAAAAAACAAACAGAGCGCAAAAATGGGCGCCAACAAAGTCCGAGTCGTGGATCTGTCGACTCGGAGACCGTCGGACAACGTCACCACCCCTTTAGCTACTACTCCTCATCCGATCAAGGCGGAGAACGGTGAGGAGCGCAATGGCGACGTAAAACAGGATTACTTCAACCTTGACCGGTCGACCGGCGGCGACGACGACCAGAAGATCGTTTCGGAGTTCAAAGGATCGGTTGTCCCAGAAAAGTCCTACATCCAGCCAGAGATCACTGATGAGGGTCCCAGCAACTCATGGCCGTATGATCCCATGTGCGAGTTCCTCATGGTAGATATTTTCGATCCTAACTGGGAGGTGCGCCACGGAGCCGCAATGGCACTTCGGGAGGTTATCCGCGTTCAAGGTGCTGGCGCAGGTCGTGTACGCGGTAGAAGCAGGGCAGAAAACAACGTCCTCAATCGGCAGTATCTGGATGACCTCGCCTGCCGACTACTTTGTGTTCTCATGCTTGACCGGTTTGGTGACTACATCTCCGACAATGTCGTGGCGCCCATCAGAGAGACTGTGGGTCAAACACTTGGTGCACTCTTGTCCCAGCTCCCGTCGCGTTCCGTGGTTTCAGTCTACAGGTGCCTGTACCGGATCATTATGCAGAAGGACCTGGGTCTGGACCGGCCCATTTGGGAGGTCTGCCACGGTGGTATGATCGGTCTCCGGTACTTGGTTGCGGTCCGCAAAGATATCCTGGTGAAGGATCGTCAACTTATGGACGGTGTCTTAGAGGCTGTGATGAAGGGACTGGGAGACTTCGACGACGATGTGCGGGCTGTCAGCGCTGCAACCCTGGTTCCGATGGCCGAGGAATTTGTGGCTTCTCGACAAAGCACGTTGGGTAATTTGATGACCATTGTTTGGGACTGCTTGTCGAACCTACAAGATGACCTGAGCGCCAGTACGGGCTCGGTCATGGATCTTCTGGCCAAGCTCTGCACATTCCGCGAAGTTCTGGATGCGATGAAAGCAAATGCGTCCGTGGATTCTGAGTCCTCATTCGGAAACCTGGTCCCTCGCCTCTACCCTTTCCTGCGACACACCATCACCAGCGTCCGTTCGGCAGTTCTCCGGGCTCTCATTACCTTCCTGCAGCTTGAAGGCGAGGGCACAAATGACTGGGTGAATGGCAAGGCTTTGCGTCTGATTTTCCAGAACTTGTTAGTCGAGCGCAACGAGGGTGTGCTCAAGCTTTCTCTTCAGGTGTGGTCGGAGCTGCTTAGAGCGCTAGAGTCGCGCGGCCTATTCCAGACCGAAGCCGACCTTCTGAGCCACATCCAACCCTTGATTACCCTGACAATGTCTCCCTTCGGCGTTCCACGGTACCCTATTCCCATGAATGCTTCCCTCTTCATCAAGCCCTCGGGCGTTCCATTCCCGATGAGCGCTGCCGCACCAGCCAAGTCCTCCCCGAGTGCAGCCAGTGCGCAGCCTGATGGCACCAAGAAGCGTGGACGCAAGGTGGAAAAGAAGGAAGTTCCTACCATGTCGGCTCATAACGTGGACGGCCACATGCTCCAGGGCGATATTGACTTGGTAGGCGCCGATACCATGTTACGATCCAAGATATATGCCGCCAAGGCCCTAGGCCAGCTTCTGTCCGTTTGGGATCAGAGCGCACTCCCGAGTCTGTGGCAGTCTATTGTGGAGGGCTTGAAGCACTCCGCATCCACGTCTCAGCTCTCGTCAGCGATGATCATTGAGGAATATGCCAGAGTGGCCGGCCCAAGCAGCAAGTATTCTTCGACTCTCTGCGAGAATCTGCGTCCGATCATCGAAGGCGACCGACCGCTGTGGTACGGTGATATTGCGTGCTATCTACATGTTGCCCGCGCCCAGTGTCACTCGTTGCTCAATGCCTTCCGCGACCATGCCCATGTCCCTAGCTCAAGGCTCCCGACCCTTGCTGTCGTTGTTCAAGGAGACGCCGAGGCCGGCCCAAGTGCGTTCTCATTGGCAGATGCTGAGAAGGTCATCGGACCGGACTTCGAGCGGTTGAAGAAAGGTCTGGCACCCGCTCAGCGCATTACTGCTCTGCA